GACCACATAAAGTCACTGTCAGAGCTGGAAGGCAGTGAAGTGAAGTCCCCAATCTTCACAGCACCAGGGACTGGCCTCTTGGAAGACAATCCAAGAATGAATTCTTCCTTATTTAGTCTTTTATTCTACGCAAGCCTTTAATACATCAAATAAGGCCCACTAGTATGTGGCAAAGCATTTCATTTTGCTCAACCAATTCCAATGTTAGTCTCACTCACACAGCATGGCATGAAAGGACCTCTTTCAAATTGCATCTTTTTTATTTTTTTTAATTAACTTACATTCATTCACTGAGCATTGTCACAGCATACAAAATGTAATTTCCCATCCAGAAGATGCTGCATAGTAGCTTAATTATACATGTTATTGTCAATAATTCTAGTTTCAAATATATATGTATACATATTTTCTCCCCTATTTCTCACCCTATGCCGTTTCCCACCCTCCTCCCACACTATCTCAGGTGTCCACAGTTGTTTTCCACTTCTTTCCCCTCCACATTTTATTAATTCACAAACCTTCCTAAATAATCTAACTACTTTCAATAGCAAGTTCAGCTGATATATACACATCTATGAATACATGTCTGACTTAAGGCATGAAATACTGAGTAGAATGAATATACTATAAGGTAGCACCTAGCTGATGCTATATAGTTTATTATGGTCATTAATTATGTATTTTTTACTATATTGTTTTTAATTTCAAGAAAAGCAGATTTAACTTTAATAAATCAAAGTAATGCTAAGGAAATATGCTTAAAACTTAAAGCCAAGAAACAGGTTGGGATTCTGTTCAAATAGTAGGTATATGAGCCTATCAGCAGCTCAAGACAAGATAAAAATCCTTAAAATCAGAAAACAAAGCCTATATGAAAGAAAGATATTGTATGTATCCACTCAATATATACCGATTATCCACACTCTATGATAGAGAGCAAAAAATTGGAGGACATAAAAGCAGTGAAGGTACTTAATGAGAACAGGACAGTGTGGAATGGGGGAAGTGAAGAGAAGAGGATAGAGAAAGATAGCAAGTGAACAATAGAGAGGCAGGACGTTAGTGAGAAACAGATATGGCTTGTTGACTGTTGATGACATGTATAGTATTCTCAACTGGATTGGTCTGAGAAGTATTTCATGATGGGCAAAGTATTTTTACAAGCAAAATGAGAAATAGAGATTGACTGTTTTAAAAAATAATAATAATAATAATAATAATAATGATTGGGGAAAACATAGAAAAGATATTGAATGTTGAAGCGGGGAGATTAATTTCTTTGTACTGTCTGACTTGCATGGCATTCCCTTTTGAAAAAGCAATGTAATACACTGTAAAGTTATATGTAGTCCAATGTAATATAAAGAAGATTATGATGATAATAAAAAATTTAAAAAAAAGAAAACAAAGCCTAGGAAAAAAATCAACAATGTTTTAGTCAAAAGTCATAAAATTCTATTTCACCAGTTCAGTCTCATGTACTTATTAATCTTTTGTTGTGATTCAATTTTTCCAATTAAATTCTGGAATATAATATTCAACTCCAGACTTGTCCCCACAATTAAGTTGGCCATTTTCTTAGTTTTTGAAGTCTTATTTCTGTGTGACTCTATTTAATTTTTCTGGAATAGCACTCCCTACAGAATTCCTTGGAGATCTGGTCTGCTGTTAGTAAATTCTTTCATATTTTGTTTTCCTGAAAATGTTCTTGTCTTTTCTTCACATATGAAGGATAGTCTTGTTGGGTATAGTATGCGTGGTTGCAATTGCTTTTCCCTTAACACTTTGAATATATTTTCCCATTCTTTCCTCACTCTCATTGTTTCTGCCCAGAGATCCACTGTCAGCCTGATGGGATATCCTTTGTAAGTAACTTGACGTTTCTTTCTTCTCAATCTTTGTATCTTCTCTTTGTCTGTGGTTCTACTCAATCTGACCATAATGTGTCTTGGAGAAGATCTTCTTGGATTGATTCTATTTGGGGTCCTTTGCATTTCTTGGGACTGGATCTTTGAATGCCTCTCTAGGTTTGGAAAGTTTTCTTCTATGATTTCATGGAATAGATTGTCAATGCCCTTATGGCTGTCTTCCCCTTCGGGGATACCAATTATCCTGATGTTTGGATGTTTGATGGTATCTAGTATTTCTTGTATAGTATTCTCACATTTTTGAACAATTTTCTCAGTCTTCGTGGTGGATTTTTCTAGGCCAGCAATTCTATCTTCCACAACTGAGATTTGATTTTCAGTGTGGTCTAGTCTGCTTTGAATACTTTCAAGGGAGGTTTAGACTTCCTGTATTATAGTCTTCATCTCTAACAGGTCCATTCGATTCTTTTTTAAAGTGTGTAATTCCTCTTTTAGATCTTGCAAGAATTTACTCACCTCCTAAAGCTCGTCATCTCCTTTCCCCTGCCTCTTCGGCAGTTCATTGTCTCTCTTCTCTTCGATCTCTGTGAGCTTTGTCACCATGAAAATTCTAAATTGTTTATCAGACATTTCCATGAATTTCATCATACTATCTGAGGATGAATAGGACTTAATTTTCCTTGGAGGAGAGGTATTTTCTTTTTTTTTTTCCATATTTCTTGTGACCCTGAAGTGACTTCTAGCTGTCAGATGGATGGTGCATTTCTTTTAATTCTTGAAGTTCAGTCTGATTGTTCAGAGGCATGCAGGAGGAGGTGATCTGCAATCTCTCTTCCATTCCGTTCTCACTCTTTGTGCATCAAAATCTGTGGGAGTAGAGGAATACTCTGACCCTAACTGTATTCAGATGTATAGATTCTGTTCACTTGGACCAGATTAGACACTTAGGAGGCAGAGGCTGAGAAGCAAAAGTGTAAAGATTAAAAAAAAAAAAAAGAAAACAATTAAAGCAAAGAAAAGAAGAAAACATAAAATAGGAAGAAAAAAGGATAATAAAAATTATAGATTTTAATATTAAAATGCAAAAATTGAAAACCATGCAGTGTGCAAGCATGCCGCATGAAAGCACTAGTTCACAGCTGAAGTTCAGGATCCATGTGGAGGTGGGCCTGGGTTTGTGCCTTTCCTAACCAGAAGGGGAGAGGCAATTACTAACACAATGAAGGAGCTTAGAAGCCCAGAGAATACTGTACCTTGAAAAAAAAATTAAAAATTAAAAGACTCAGGGAGACACAGAGAGACAGAGAGAACTAGAGACAAAGAGACAGGTAATACTACCTACTAGAAATAAGTGAGGAAGAAGTCTCAGCAGAAAGTCTTCATTTTAAGTCTCCGAAAGCACTAGTTCACAGCTGAAGTTCAGGATCTATCTCAAATTGCCTCTTTCCTGCAAATGCCTTTCTTTTCTTTTTATTTTTTTCACTTTCTTTTAATTTCTTATATTTTTATATTTAATCACTGTTTACAGAATACAGAATGAATTTTCCCAGCATGAATATACTATATATTAGTCCATTCAAAGATATGACTATACACATTATCATCAACAGATAATTTTCTATTTTTGTGTCCATTTAAATACTTTGCATTTTTCCCTCCCTTAATTTCTTCCCTTCCACTCCCCATATTTCCCACCCTCCTCCCACACTGTCTCTGGTATCCACAGTTGCTCTCCTTGCTTTTAAACCTTTCAGTCTTTCAGTTTCTGCCATAGAGTGAAGACATTTGGGATGACTCCATGTCTTAGCAACTGCCAATGCCTTTCTATCCCCTTCTTCTAGTCATGCTAACTGAAGGATGTCTGGGATATCATGCTCTCACGTACATTTGTGGTTTTTGGCTTTAGAAATGCTACCTCCTGTATCTGAAGCTCTTTCCCAAATCAAATCTGGGTAACTACTGTTTGCATTTCTAATTTCTACATAAATATCATATTCTCCTTTAAGCTTTTCCTGATTCACAAGGACTCCAGTTGCTCTTTAACATCCTGAAAATATCATGTTCTAGCATTTATTAAATCATATTACCTGGCCTCCATTGTTCTCTGACTTTCACTACTGGATATTTTTCTGATAACAAAGAGTTATTGTTATTTTATTGAGCATCATGTTCCTATGATGTTTTGCAATGCCTAATACACAGCTGATTCTCAGTGAACATTTCTTGAAAAAAAAAGCTCAATGAATTACTTTCCACTTACATAGAAGTGGAGAATAAATCAGCTTTACAATTAAAGAAACAAAAGAACAATGCTTAAAGAAGTACCTAGTTAAATACTTAAAATAATATAAACTTAATAAAAGAGATTGCTAGAATGATTGGGAGTCACAAGGGTGGACTGACCAATGGTATTTTAGATACGTAAGCCATGAAGGGCTTTCCTAAAAAGGTTTGAGCTAAAACCTAAGTCGTAAGAAAAATCCAGCAATGGATTGAGCTTGCAGAGCTCAACAACGTCCCTGCTAGAAGACACAGTAAATGGAAAAGTTCCAAAGAGGAAATAGGCTACTTGGAGGTATCAGGAAAAGAAAAAAAGGCCAATTGTTTGAATCATGGCTCACAGGAAAAGACAGAGATGAGACAGAGTCAGGCAGGGTGGCAAGTGAAGCCTTGAGCAGGACCATGCAAGGCATAATTAGGAATATGCTTTGGATTCCCATTCATGTGTAGCTTTGGCTTTCTCTGAACGCTCTTTCCTAAATAGCATTCCTTTTCCTTCTTCTTTCTGCTTCCTAACTCTACCTCTTCTCAGTGATTATCAATACCAACTACTGTACTATATATCTATGTGTCTTTTTGCCTATCTTCCCCAGTGTAATATAAGCCATAGGGGAATGTTTTGTTTATTGATCTATGCCCAGAGCCTAAAAGAAGGCTTGGCACATAGATAATGCTCAACTAAGATCTACTGCATAAAGTATTGATGTTTTATTCAAATTTTAATGAGAGCTATAGGAAAAACAAACAAAAAATGAAGAGTATAAATGAAAAACAAATTAGAAGCTGTTTGTAACTATGTCAGAGATCTTAGGGTATTATATTGAGATGATGGCCACATACCAGGTGGGAAGTACCTGCATATAGGATGCTCTTGGGGGACTATAACAGTAGGACTTGCGATGAATTGGATGCTGTGGGTAGGAGACAAACAGATAAAATAAGATAGCTTTCTTGTTTCAAACCAATGGATTAGGTAGATGTGACAATTAGATTATTAACAGAGATAAGAGGAAATCTTTTCTAGGACAGTCATTCATTTTTTTTGAGACGAGTTAACATTCCTAATTATATTACTAAACACACCCACACTTCATGTGTATGCAGAACAAGCATCCTAATGCCACTTAGCTTTGAGGTTCTAACTTTGAATTTAAAAGTGTCCTTTGCCTAGAACCATAACTTTTAATGGTCAAAGTAGGAGCCTATCCATTGTCCCAAACATGTCACTTTCAGTGCAGCATGTTAGTGCCTTGAATGATTATGTCCCAGACACCCCGTTCGACCTAAAAAAGCCCATTATATTTCTGCTTTTCCATCTTTTGATAAACAGCACTGCTTGCCTTCTTTTGTTTTCCCTTTCAGTTAGGTAAGAGGAAAACTATTGTGTTTTAAAAATTCAATGTAGGGGGACCAGCAGTTAGCGTAATGGCTATGTCGCTGGACTCTCACGTAGTCGACCATGGTTTGAGTCCCAGACCCGGTGGCTTAAACTCACACCGGACACGTGTGCGTGCGTGCCTAAGATCCCGAGGATGAAGGAGAAGGGATTGTGGCGTGGCCATCCCCCCTGGGGTGTGATTTCTTGCTTTCTGTCTCTCTGTTTCTCTCTGTCTGTCTGGCGAGCATACATGCCCTACAGCAAAAACCTCTCCAAAAAAAAAAATTCAATGTAGGAATAAAAACAAACTGTTTCTGTTGTTATAGAGTCACAAAATTATACAAAACAATAAAAATATTTTGAACATTATGTTTTTAAAAAAATGAAACTTTATTGTAGGGGATTTTTAAAAAAAGTTGTTTCTATACTTTTATCTGGAACACTTATTTATGGATGGAACCACCAACAATGATTTTTTCTAGTTTTCTGTTTAAGTCTATTCTATCAGTATAACTACTCTGTTCCATAAATAATGCTATACTATCACTGGGAGATGGCACATTTATTAGAGTTAAGGTGAGCTAAGTGCTGCGTGTTCATAAGGCTTACATCTACTGGGCTTTTCCATGAAGTCTGCATACCAACAGTAACCAATTATCTAGGTTAAAAATTAGTTTTGGAAATGTGATATATGATTACAATAATACTAGACTAAATAATAAAATTCAATTGTCCCTATTTCTAGGGCTATTATCAGAAGTAAATGAAGTATATTTTATTTTGTTTTTAAATTTTTGCTAAAGAGTGCATGTGCTTGCCAGAGAGAAAGAGAGAGAGAGAGAAAGTCCCCTCCTCCCATGGGAGATGGTCACGCTCCAATCCCTTCTCTTTTATTCCCCTCTCAGGACACTTTGGGCATGCACGCATATGCGCCAGTGTTTTTTCTTTAGTTGTTTGATTTTAGACTTTTGCCATAGGGTACATGTACTTGCTGGAGAAAGACAGAGAGATACAAAGAGGGAAAGTGAGAAATCACATCCCAGAAAAATGGCCACACCACAGTCCCTTCTCCTTGGCTATGCTCTAGGGGTTTTTGCCACGCATGCTCACGTGCCCAGTGTCTCCAGGTCTAGGACTTGAACCATAGTCAGCCATGTGGGAGTCCAGCACCTTAAGCAGCTGGCCCACTCAGTGTGTTTTTGAAGCCACAGGGTCTGGGACTCCAACTGTGCAGTGGACCACATGGCATCCAGCTGCCATAAACACCATGCCACTGGCTCACAGATGAGTTTAAAAATTGTATATTTAGAGTAATGCCTGAGACATTCTAAAGAAACATAAGTATTAAACTCAATGATAATTTCATCAGTACTTTTCTGAATATCTATGTAGCGCAATGATGTTCTAGACAATGCCCTGTACACTTTTTGAGCATTAGGTAATTAATGCTCACAAGAATCCTCCAAGATACGATTTTTTATTTCTTTCCCATGTACAGGAAAGAGGTTGAAGTTAGGAGAATTTTAATAAATTACCCAAGGCCAAATGCTAGTAAGTAATTATTTGTCCCTCATATGTTCTCTGGCAGGAAGAAGAAATTCCCTGAGGCAATGCACACTGGGCAAATGTGTTTGGATGAGGAACATGTTTGGAAAATTTCAGGAAATAGAGAAATGCTGTCTATGGAGTAACTCCTGAGGTGGCTCGAGACAGAGCATGTCATGAAAGAGAAAAAGCAAGAAGCCTCAAAAATGTACTAGTAGGAAAAAGATAAAGAAAAAAAAAAGATGTAGAGATATGAAAGTTTAAATCCTAGCAATGTTAAACTTTGGTCCATACAAAAATAAAAGAAAAAAAAAGAATCAGGAGAAATTTACTGTATGACATAAACAGAACTCACTTTTTTTTTCCCTGAAGAGATCATTGTTTTGGATGTTTTTCCCCTAAAAAAACTGCCAGTGAAATATGTTCAAACATTTCTCCCTATAAACAATTACACTTGGACTAAGAGAGTCCATTTGTTAAGACTCCTTAAACTTACTTGATTTCAGTTGCTGTTTCAGTCATTGGAGAGAATCTGGTTTTCTCCTCACAATGTACACACCTTCTCCTGTCCACTCAGAGTCTATCATTTCCACGAAGATTAAGAGTTCATCCCAACACATTTATTCTTTGCACTGAAAAAAAAAAAGTAATGCATTTATTTAAAAAACGTTAAGAGGGGGATGAGATCATTTATTATTGGTGAGCTTTAATAGTATCTAAATAAGAGGACAGGTATTTTCTTTTCCTGTTCGCTTACTATTATTTCTATTCCTGCT